CTGTGTGTTTATTTCTCTCTCTTCCTCCCTCCTTGCCTTCTCTCTCAACATCCTTCTTACTAACCAGGCAGCATAATCACTGATCCATAGCTGAGAGCAAGGCTTATTCCCAAGATTTGGAAGCAGCCAGCCCCTATTTGCTCTTCTTGCTGCTTGAGTGATAATGCTATCGTGGGCCTGCAGTTCAGTGACGTACACGAATCAACCTAGTCTACCATGAAACTTAGGAGGGAGGAGAATCACAGAAGGGAGGAAGAGGACATGTCTCATTGACTCCTTTCCAGGTCAAAGTGCCTCCTTGTTGCTGCTGTGTTGTTTCTATTGCTGCGGTTTGATGCACTGAGAAATTACAGAACAGTGAAATAAAAGCTGTGTTTTGTGATGCTCTTTTTCATTGGCTTGTTACCTCTGGCTGCATGGGACTTCTTCAGTCTGCATGGCCACCCACAGAGAGGGCAGTTGAGAACTGTGTGGGGCAAACCAGATTTTGGGCTCTGCTGCTATGGGTGGTATCCATCCTGGTGTGGTGAGACCTCAGGTTTTACACACTCCCTAAGGCTGCAGGGTCAGAGCACTGATCTCCAGATCACCTGCATCAGTTGTGACTGTTCATCTGCCTCAGACACAAGAAGGCCCCAGACTCAGGTTCTCTTGAGGAATCTCAGCAGTGTTTGAGATTTTGCACTTGACATCAAGAGTTGGAAGTACGTGAGTAAACCGAGCCCTTGATGACATTGTCTCCCATTGGAAATAAATGTTACACCACTGAAGCCATGCAGCTTGAACGAGGATAAGGATTGGACCTGTGTGGAAATTTATACTCTTGAATTGTCAGTTCTTATCATTAGTTAATAACTTAGGAATCTGTTGGCTGATTTAATCTTTTAAGGAGGTAAGAAGGGCTGAATTGAAACAGTACTGAGATAAAGGTTGCGGAATCAAACTTCTTTCTTACAAAATAAAGTAATTCTGGGGTTTTTTTTCTGTCAGCTAGCTAGTATGTATGTACAACCCTGCCAGTCAGCACATATGAAACTCTGAAATATGAAGGACTGTATTACATGACCCAAGGCTGGAGGACTTTGGAGGAAGAAAAGGCTTGAAAAGATTGAAAATTTGAAGGGCTGTTACTGAGAAGGGCCCAGGGTTTCTGAAAGTTATGGGTGTTGGGGACACACCACATGCATTCAAGGAAAAGAAGCCTTTTGTAGTTCTGTTGCTGGCAGAAGCAAACACCCAGTTTGGAGTCTTGAAGAGCTCTTGGTCTGGAGCAGTTAGCAAACAGCCTGGCCTAACAGCTGTCCCCCAGCAGGGACAAGCAAAGCTGATTTTCCAAGGTAACACTGGTGCAGCATCAGCATGGGGTTATTACACAGCCCAGGTGGCATACATTTGCTTAATGAGTGTATAAGGGAAGTCCCAGCTTTCTGAGATCACTTAACAAGCCTGGCATTTCTTAGATTCTGGCATTTTGGATACAGTTATGGTACCCTTTGCTATCCAGCCCTTTGCTCTCTTTAACTCTGGCCCCTTCTACTGCTGAGAAATAAGCACAGATTTTCCACATAGCTCTCAGATACATATGACATTAGTTCCCTCCAGCACTCATAGCTACTGCTACCCAGTACTTGTGCAGAGACTGGCTGTTTGTGCTGCCATCCCACCTTCCCCTCTGTTGCTCTGTTTTGCTTCATGTTTACCCCTGTACGCACCATCCCTGAAGCTCTTTGCTTTGAAAGCAAGCCGAAGGGGGAAGTGAGGTGACTCGCTTGAAAGTCTTGGAGAGGCTTGTTGCAAATGCCCTGTCCCTGGTGTGGTATATTACCCTTCAAACCCTGCTGGAAAGTGCTCCTCTGTTTATAGCACCATCTCTGCTGGCTGGCAATGTCTCAGTCTACGGGCAGTGAGCATTTTGCCCCATCCCGTGTGGGCACATGGCTTCACAGCACCCGGGCACCAGTGAAAGCATTTTCAGTTGTGTGAGAAGGCCTTTGGGTTGACAAAGAATTTGGGGGGGAAGGGGGCAGAGGAAAGGATCCCCGGGCACAGAGAACAGAGCTCTAATCCTGTGGCAGATAACATCATGTCTGCAGGCTAGGCTTGTGTGTGTTTGGGGGAGCTGGAGGGGCAGAGATTGTTAGGCAGTATTTGTTTGTAAAGCCACTTGCTCTGAAGATAATGCTTGCACTAACTTCTATTGAGGGAGCAGTGTGAGTCCCCACAAAGTCCTTTCCCAAAGTGTCTTTGAAGCCAAGAACCCATTGAAAGGAAGAAAGGCCAAGAGAGGGGATTAGTTTGTTCAGCAGCTGTGAATTTCAGTGGGAGGCTGATGAACTCCAAAGTCTTTGTTGAGATGTTTTTTGTAAGGAGCCCTGCTGGAGGGAGAGACCCACACCGGGGCCGCGGCCTTAGACAAGAAGGAATCTGAAGCGGCGGGGAGCTGTAAACGGGCCACAAGGACTTTTCCCAAACACTTTTCGGAAAAGGTGTTGTAAAGAGATCGGAGGGGGATTAGCATGTGAAATGACACTTTCCATTGACTCCACTGAGGGGAGGGGAAAAGGGCTGGCTGGCTGATTTATTAGCATTTTGTTCCCTTCTCTATTCTGCTCCCCCAGCAGCCCCCCTCCGCTGTCTCCCCTCCTCCCGAGCCCTCTAAAGAGGCTTGGATTGGAAAAGGGAGCGGGGGGCTGCCTGTTTGTGTGTCATCTGGGCGAAGGTGACCACCTGGGAAGCTGAATGTAAATATTTCTCCTCTGAGGAATGCGCCTTCATTAAACCGAAATGAATACATGGAAGCATCCAATCCTGCCCACAATGGCAGCAGGGCCCTTACCGCTGAGGGCTCGGTGCGCCGGGAGGGGACCCGCTGCTGAGGTCAGCACATTCTGCAGCTGCGGTGCCGCCGCGGCCCCGGCGGAAGCGGCGTGGGGCGGCGGGGCTCTCGCTGGGCTGCCCCGTGTCCCCCTCGCCTGCAGCGGTGGCAGCGGGGGAGGGATGGAGTGCGAGTGGGAGAAAGAGCGAAACCGCTTCTGCAGCTTTTCCAGCCGACTGTGGAACGGGGAGAGCCAGAAGGAAAAGGGAGACCCATGTTGGAGCTTTCCCTGGTGGTCGAGAGGCTCTTGCTTCCTCTTTCCTGGCCAGCCACAGGGATAGGGGAACTGTGCTGGGGATGCAGGACACCTTTGGCAGGGTCACTGTGCTAGTAAGAACTTCTGTGCAAAAAGTGGTGGTTTGTGTGTGAAGTGGAAGTGTTTCAGTTTTCACTGAGAATGGGCCAAGGTTTCTTGCAATTTTTGAAAGGCCAGATTCTTGCTTGACAGGAATGCTCTTGCTCTGATGAGACCCTAGGTCCAAATTCCTGCTCCCTGTGAGGTAGTCCTAGAATCAAGGGACTAATTGATAATGAAGAGACAAATACAGGCTGCTGAGTGTTGTTAATATATCCTCTGTGTACTGGACAACTGGGCCCTGTCTGCCCCGCTCCCACCCCATTTCTTCCTGGCAGGTGCATTGCAGTTGGATGCATCCCCAAGCAAGCTCAGGAGAGAGCACATCCTTTCCCCTTGTGGTAGAGGCTGAGGTTGTGCTGGCTGGAACTGGTTAAGTCTTCCTGGGCTCAGATGGGTAAGCAGTATGTTTTAAACTCCAGGACTCTTAAATTTATACATACACACGAAATGGGACAAAAGAACACCCAGCCACTTAAGACACAACAGCATTTTGCGAGCACTTGGCTACTGATTTATTGCATTGGCTATTGGTTTACAAATATTGGCTACAAGATTAGTCTAATGGCCAGTAACAGCTCTGCTGGCTTCTTGTCTGGCTAAAGGACACTTCAAACAGCAAAGCAGATGATATTATCACAGCTCAGGGGAAGATTGTTGTGATGGTACAGTGAGCTTCCCCAAGTCCCGCAGCTGGCAGCTTCTTACCTCCCTCCCCTAGCCTCAGCAAGGGAACAGAGATGCATCAACCAAGTCTTCCTGCTGCTTGCTTAGCCTATAGAATATATACAATAAGTGGTAGAGGAAAAACTGTTATGTATACATCACAGTAACTGTGCAATAAATTAAACTTCAAAGTGCTTCACTTTCCTATTTACACCACCATTAAATACCAACTGACATTTTTTCTCAGACTAGGAAGAAGTATTTAGTTAGTTAGCTGACAGGGTAAGAGTGCTTGGCAAGTACACCAGGACATGGGGAATAGGCTCAGCTCAGCAGCTCCTCTCTGGGAATGATTTGGGAGGAAGGAGGTAGTGGAGGAGTATGAGGGCAACTTTATGGCATCAGTCAGGGGCTTTGATAGGAATGCTGGCCTAAAAAAGGAGACCAGACCTAGAGAATTGGAAGACACAGAGAAAGCATGTAAAAATCAAGTGATGGAACCCTGATTTTGGACAGCTGTGTAATGGGCAGGTCAAGCAGCAGTTTCAATCTTGCTGCTGCCATTTCAAATGCAAAGTAAAGCACTGGAGAGCTTAGCAAAGCTGTCAAAGTGTGGGAAGCAAAGCTGTGGGGTCCCTGGAGGCTGGCTTGCTGAGAAAGGAGTTGCATGTCTTTTGTATTTCCTCAAAGTGTAGGCCTGAGGCAATAACTGTTTTAGTAACTCTGTTTTTTAAAAACCTCTTCTCATTTACAGATTACTAATATGAGTTACCCAATTGTTGGTGCCATCTCAATTTCCTTGTACTTTTCATCTCACTTACTCAAAAGCCCAGAGCAGGTGCTTGTTTGGGGAACAGATAAGCTCAAAACCACAGGAGCCACTGAGACCTCCTGTGTTTTCAGAGATAATGCCATAGTCACTGGATAGAGTGACACTGAGCTGAAGGGACCGAGTCTCACTTTGTTTTGTGAACACTTGAAGGTCTCCCCAGAAGACACTGCCCACTGCGCTAATGCCCTTCACCACTGCAAGGCCTGAGCGCTCATACAAGGCTCTTTTGCCTTGCCCAAGCCCCAGTGAGGCAGCAGTGGGAATGAGACAAAACTATGCCAAACAGAAATGGTGCCAGGAGCTGATGGGAAGGGCAGGAGAGGAGAGGGGCAGACAGAACTGTGGAGGAGCAGAAGCAAGTTAGAGCTTTCTCTTGAGCTTGCGGCTGGCTCCGCCACCTCCGCTCCGCTCCCGCTTCTCCTTGCGGACGCAGAAGTACTTGGTGACCCGTTTGCGGCACTGCTCGCAGCGCACGGCACAGCACCAGTGGAACTTGCAGTTGCAGCTGGACACCATCTCGGCTCGCCTCTCCTCCACCGCCAGCCCGCAGTCCCCACACAGCCGCCGGCAGCTCCGCTTCTCCCACTTGCTGAGCGCCTTGCCCCTCTTCAGGCACTCCCTGCCCTCCGTGCCCAGCAGCCCCAGTGTCTTGTTCTCCAGGCAGTAGTCGGGAGAGTCTTCCAAATGGACCAGTTCCTTCTTGGAGATGGAGCTGAAGGTCTCGGCAATCGCACCCCGGCTGGCAGCGCTGTTCCCGGCTCCCTGCAGCAAATCCACCTTCAGGGCTTTGTGGTACCTCTCCTTGAGGTAAGTGCCCACCTCCCGAAACTCAGGCAACTGCAGCCAGCAGGTCTGGGTGGTACAGCTCCCTGACACACCGTGGCATTTGCAGGTCCGCTTCATGGTCCCTTTCACTGCCTACAGGGTGAGCAGAGAGAGGGGCTCAAGAAAATAATCCCGGAGGGATTATTATATATTGTTATGTATAAATAAATTTATTATTTCTATATTGTATAAATATATATATTTATTATATATTTATTATATATCCAGAGGGATAATTATAAAAGGATTATTTCCATTTCTGTGCTGCAATGCATGCAGAAATATGACTCCAGGCCTGTGGAGGAGTTTGGCATCAATTCTCCGTGAACAGTAGTCCTAAAGCTCATGTATTTGCTTTTCCACAGTGCTCCCCTCATTGAGCTGGGAGAAAGAGTACTGCAGACAGTCATTAACACCATAACACAGAAGCTTTGCTAGCTTAGAGCAGACACCATTGTACTGCTGCCATGCTCCCCAAGAAGTTGTTTCTTCTGGACATGTGTTTTTAGCCACATCAAATTGTGACTCTCCACAGTGAATCCGCAGAGCCAATTTGGTATGCACTGTCAGCTCTGGAGGGAGAGAGGCACTCACCTTTCTACCTGCCTCGTTGTTATGCAGGTTCATAGCAGCTCTGGCATCTTGTCCAGTCTCCAGGGCATCCACAAACTGCTTGGAAATAGCTTCCCCAAAGCCCACGTTATCGCTGCAGCCTCCCCACAGCCAGCCTTGCCCCCCTAAGAAAGGAGATGAGATGTGTTCTGTCAAAGAACCAGAAGAGGTATCAGAAGTGATGGGAGGGAACGGAGGCTGTGGGGCAAATCCAGCCTTTCACCACACAGGACTCCTAGATTCCCTCCCACTGAGTTCGTGACATTTTTCCTGAGGCCTGGATAGTAAATGGCTCAGGCAGGCAGCAAAGGGGTATGTACAACAAATTCAGGACTTTCCAGGCTTTCTAAGGAGCAGGATTTAGAAGCTGTCAGTTATCCTGCTTTAGCAGACATGCAGATAAGCCTTTGGGTCTCTAATCGCTTCTCAAACCCTGACTTCAGCTAGTTCAGTGTGGCTTGCAGGGACGGCATCTTGCTAACTTGGATTAACAATCTGGTGGAGGCATCCTGGTCAGAGGTAACAGATTCCCCTCTGCCTAGAACAGCCCAAACCTGGCACATGTGCATCAAGGAGGCCTTGGTTTTGGCACACCCAGAATTCTGAGATTATGTTTGGCATCTTAGAAGGGTCTGATTTTCTAGTTACCATCAAGAAACAAGGGAGTCAGCAAAGAACTGTGAAATTACACAAAAATATGTGGAAGGTACTTTTCCTAACTGAATGGGACTGGAAAAGCATAATGCATTTTTTTCCTCCTACAGAAAGAAGCCAAAGTTTTAATGAAGATTTGAAATCTGGAACATTCTGACCCTGACAGGCCACATTGGTACATCTTGGGAGTTGTGGTTTAATGGCCTTGTGCCTGTCTGGAAAGGCCTGGCCCTTGCCTGGACTTCCCCAGGGCATTGTGATTCCCTCTCCCAGGGAAAGACAGGAGTGTTTCATGGGAGGTGGGTGGTTGCAGTAGATGATGTAGTCCAAATCAAGGACAGGGACTGAAGGAAGTAGGAAAACCTTTCACCAGCTTGGATTCAGTCCAATGGCTGAACTGAATCAAGCTTTGGTCAAGCCAAAAATTTACATGTGCCTTACAAGGCTTTAAGTCCACAATGGAAAGTTTTTTATTAAAAACAGATATATTTGGGGAAAAGAAATGTAGCATGACTAACTTGGTTTTCCAGAGAAAACAGAATTTGATGTATTGTTGCCCAAAAATCTTGCTCTGCTAGAGACAGGCATTCCCAAACCTTGGACACCTTTGCAGTAGTGGCTATCAGCCAGTACAGTAAATTACTAAATACTGGACACTCCAGAGGAGTTTGTCATAAAGTGACACATACTGACTGCCTAGTTTGGCTGGGCACGGCATGGCTTTTAAATTTTTATCATTTTGATCATTTGAAATTTGACCTCTTTCTATTCAAAACAAAACCCCCTAAATGTCTGTTTTCTGTGAAAGCTGAGCAGAGCTGGAGTGGTGCAGCCTGTAGTTCCCCACCAGGGGTGCTTGGTGGCTGAGGGCCTGGATATCACTGTCATGTGGAGGGTGTGATGGCTGTGTGCTGCCACAGTGATTCTCCTGGTTGTGCTCTTGTGCTGTAACGCTCTGCCATGCTGACAAGCGTTCGAGAAGTTTATGAATGTCACCCTGCTTTTTCTCATGGTCATTCTGCTGTGGGGCCAACCTGGTCCTGCAGACCCTGGGAACCCTGAGGTCCTTGACCTGTGCTGCTATATCAGGATCTGTGCTGTTATACCAAGATCATTTAGGTGCATGGCACAGATCTACTCCTCAGCCTATATGATATAGTCATTCTCGCCAGCAGCTTAAATAGAGTTCTTGTTTTGAAGCAGGGAAACTGCAACCCCTTCTACTTTCCTGCTCATTTAGAAAGTAATGGAAAGCAAAAAGAGCTTGGCTGGTGTAAACTGGAAGTGGCTCCATTAGCTTCCACAGAGCTACTTTGGTTTGAATCAGGGAAAGCTTTTCTCTGAGCATTATTCCCAGGTGTGGGGACCAGGATGGGGAGGTGTTTCTACAGGCCTCAGTGGAGGAGAGACAAGCTTCTCCTGCCACCTGGGATGAGTGAGAGGCAGCAGCTCATCCCTCCTTACCCAGCTGTCCGTTGCGGGAGTCGTCACAGCCACAGTTGTCAAAATCCCCCAGGCTGCAGTTCCGGGTCAGCGTGTACATGACACCTGCAGAGCTGATGGCGTGGACAAAGGCTGTTTCTCGGTTTGCTGTCAGGGGGGAATACAAAGAGAGCAGGTGTGCTAAAGATTTCATGGCAAGGGCAGTGCTAGAAATTGTTCCTACCGTGCAGGAGTCTGCACAGGACATCTGTAGTGGGGAAGACTTTGTGGGGTGGAGAAGAGGCACTACATATCAGATTACCTTAGTTTTGGCTTGAACTGCATGAAGATAGAAGCTCCCAAATATGATCTGGACTGACTCATGTCATTTGAAAGAGTGTGGAGGAGACAGCACCTGGCTGTCCTTGTGGGAGCTCAACAGTGGTGATACAGCACAGACTGCCAATGTCCCCCACTTCTCACTAACACTCCCCCTACAAGAAGGGGTCCACTCCAAGTATTGAAGAGCTCCTTCCCCACAGTCCCCTCAAGCCATATCTTCTGCTGAAAGGGCTCTGAGCAGTGACCATACCTACCCACCAGGATCAGTCTGAGAATCATCAGCTGGCTTCACTGAGCCTTTGGCTTTCCTTTAATACCAGCAAGGTGTGGATCTGAGCAGATAACCCTGACAGGAATGGTTCCAGGACCTGCTTCTGGTCTCAGAGCAGGCCTTGTGCTGCAACTGTCTCCTCAAGGTCCCATTTGAAGAAACCTTTGTCCATCTTTGTCCATCTCTCCCTAGAGCTCTGGTCTCTTGTCTGCTGCTAGTCCCACCAGAGGCCTGAGCTCTCCTCCACACCCAGGTCCTGCTTTTACAGAGCAGGTATGAGCCCAGGCCAGCATCAAACATAGGTCTAGAGGGCCAGATATACACTGAAATATTTCCTGGCACCTGCAAATAGGTAAGGAATAGGATACAGTGACAATGATCACTGCCCCATGCCCTACAGTGGCCCAGGTCAGGGATGCTAGATATCTGCCTAGGGTGATTCTGACATCTGGAAAATGTAGAAAGGCTTTTGTCCTGCCTCTTGGCCAGAGCACAGCCACTGATGAACTTTCCTGCTCCCTTTAGCTTTATCCTTCTGATTGCTATCTAGCCAGCCTGTGCTGGTTCTTAGCTTCCCTGGAATACCCTGGGACACCATCTAGGCATGGTGTCCAGCAGGCTGTGTGCAGGTCAGGGGGTGCATCCTTGTGGGGAGGCAGTTTTGTAAGGGTTGGTCCTGTGCCAGTTGGGGTTCAGCAGCTCCATGGGCAAAGCTGGCATTGCAAGGAGGCCTTGGAGCTAGATCTGAGTGTATCTGGGAGCTAATGGGTGAAGGGGTCTCCTGGGAAGATCCCTCTGGGGGATTCCTGGGAGAGGCACTTCCCAGGTGGGAATGGGGAAGAAAAGGAGACACTTGGGAAGAGAGGAGGGGGCTATGGGCTCTAACCTGTAGCAAGGGGGTCCCAGTAGTGGTATCCAATACTTTCCTTACCACTGCGCAGCCCACCGTGGCTGGAGAGCTGCAGGGCCCTCTCCGGGCAGTTCCAGCGGTCCCAGGCGAACTGGAACTTGCACTCCTCGATGCCGCTCTGCGCCCCAGCCGCCACACTGCTGGAGTAGATGAGATAGGCCTAGGAGCAGAGCTGGGGGTCAGCACGGGGACGATGCATATTTTCAACTGAAAGTAACCTGTGTGCCATCTTACAAAGACAACACATACAGAGCTCAGAAGGTCTCCCTGGCTTGGCTTCCTTGGGGAGATCACCACCACCAGCAACAAACCCATTTCCTGCTGATCTGGGTCAGAGTCTGAGCCTACTGTGGGAGAAAGCTCAGCTCTTGGCTGTTAGCCCCATTAGGAAATGTGCCAGTCCACCTCTGCCACGGGGAACCCCTTATCTCTCCACCATGAGAGGAAACAGAGCTTTCTGCTCAGATCAGGGAGCTCCAGGCTAGCAGATGCCTCAACCTGCCTTCTTCTTCACCACAGCCCATGGGGGAGAGCTAGTGCACTGGGACAAGGTTGCTCCAGCAGTGTATTGGGAGCTAGATGGGCCTGGAGGTGTTCCTGGGGAATAGCCAGAACAAAATCTGGGTAAATTTTACAACTGGCCATGGCTAAGAAAAAAAGCCTCTGAAAGAGGAGCATAAGGATGTGATGGGTCAAAAATATAGAACAAAGTCCTGGCAATGCTAGTTGTGCTCCTTGAGGAAGTATGTTTTACAGGGCCTGCAGAAAATACTTTCTGGCTGGATCAGTGTGCCCCCTGATGCCAACCTGATCCTCAGGTTGTGAGGTGACAGCCTTGGCTGGTGAATATAAACACATCTCCAGAATCTGGCCCCAACCAGCTTAAAAGAACCCCAGGTCAGCATTGCTCAGGGCTCATGCAGCCCAAAGAGCTCACAAGTTCCTGGCCTTTCTCTGCCTTATTGCTGGAAACCTGGGGGTGAGGGGAGCTCTGGCCAAGGCTGGGTGGAGAGGAGTGGGAAGCAGGAGCCCCTCTCTCTCTCTCCTTCCCTCCCTGGGTTTAGTGGAATCAGGGACAGAGATCAAAGGGATTTCTCTTACCTTGGGGCCCGTCATCAGGAAATTATTCACTGACCTGGAAGATAGAGACAGTGTCAGCAGGGAGGGGGTGATGGTGGAGGGGTCTGGGGAATGCCAGGCATCCCAGGGCTCTCCTCTCACTCCCCCACAGTCTGCCTGTCTCCTGGCTGCAGGCACTTCTGGTCTTTCCCCCATGTTCCTTTGCTGCTCCCTAAGGGACAGGACAGTGCTGTCCCCTTCCCCCCATCCTGGTCCTCTCAGTCAAGCTGTACTGGGCTACAGTTCCTTCACTGCTCCCTCCTTTTGCTTTCCTCTGCTCAGCTATCCTTTGTACCAATCCACCCCTTATTTAGCTTTCTGGTTCCCCTAGCCTTGCTTTTTACCTCACTTGGCTAAACTCATGGTAGCATTTCCCCCAGCCCCAGGAGTGGGACCATGTTGATGGAAGGAGGGCATCACACCACTGCTCCTTTGCAATATGTATCCAGATGCATCTCTCCACATCACAATCCCTTGTTTTCCTGTGGTGCCGTGTCTGACTGCCCATACTTCCTCTTGGTCAGGTTATGGTGATGGCTGAGCACAAATATACCTGTCTTTCCCATCCTCCTGGACACTTTGCAGGGGATCCTGGGGGTTTGGGGTAGGTGGAAGGTCCTAGACAAAACTAAGCTTTCTGCTGTTCCCACTGAAGGTGTGGAGGGATCACCTCCAAGGGTCAGGCAGTGTGGCTTGTCTCCAACACTGTCCCTATGGCCTTGCAGAACTGATGCTGTCTGGTCTTTCAGTAAGAAAGACTGTTTCTGTGCAAATGGTCAGTCAGCACTGGGACTCCATATGGTGCAATGACCGCCTGCAGAATTTGGAGAATGGCTGGGTGAATCCTGCCTGGCTACATCATGACAGAAAGGACTGACACTTTGGAAAATCCCAAGAGCCAACTCAAAATATCCCAATTCAGAAATTAAGTAAGAAAAGAGAGAGTCTCCTAAAAATACCTAATTCCACTTTCTCCCCATTTGTAAAATAATACTCATCACTATTTCTGGTGAGTCTGTGGAGCATTTTCCCTGCTGGAACCCAGCACTTCAGAGAAATGGGTGACTGCTGTTATCACCCAGGGAGGACACTGGGGTCAGAGAGGTGGAATGAGTGGATTGAGATCTTGCAGTGAATGAGTGATTGGAAAAATGACAGAGCATGCACTGATAGAAACTTGGTTCTTCAGCTTCTTCTCGAGATTATGTTCTGCTTCAAATGAGCTACAAGTATTCCCTCATAAAGGAGAGAAAGATATTGTCTTTTTGTGCTACAAATCCAGCACAGACACTGTGGGGGCATCCCAGGGTGGGCTCAAGCACAGGAAGAAGCAGGCAATGCTGTCCAAAGCTGAGGGTCAAAGTGCAGCCCTGCTATAGACACAGGGACAGACAGGGTGGCAGGACTGGTCCACAGACATCAGACACATGAGACATTCAGAGAGGATGCTGTCCTGACCTGGAAAACCACTTGTGAAGTTAGCAAGCCCACTTCACCTCCACTAGAACTGCACCCACAGAGATCCTTTCCAAAGCACACCACAAAAGGAGATCTCATTATTTTAGCTTGGTCAAAATCATAAGAAACCTGATCTTTGCTGTTACAGTTTAGAGTTAGGAGAAATGAGTTTGCAACATTTCATTCTGGTGAGTCTAGCTTTCTTTTGTTTTGGTTTGGTTTTTGTGGGGTTTTTTGGTGAAAATGGGTTTATATTGATGAAGCTTTCTTTGGGAAAGATTCCCCTGGGTCAAAACAAGAGTGGGCTGTGAGAACAGGAGATTCTTTCCCTTTGTTCCAGCCTTGGGATTCAGACCCGGCTGTGCTCCAGCCCCCATGGGTACTTTAGCACGAAGTCGATGGTTGTATTGCAGAGGAATTTTCCTTTGGAAGCTGCTTCTGCATTGTACAGCTAATTAAATATTTCCTGGGACTTGGAGAGACGGCATCTGTAGCCGAGTGATTAGAGCATCGGGTGACCTGAATCACACAGGGCCATGAACCTGGGGCTAATCAGACTGTGTAAGCTCCATGGGTCCCCATCCTAACGCAACTGGGTAGCAGCATGAACAAGTCATTTTTCCATCTGGTTTCCCTTCTGTCCATTGCCTTGACCTTAAGTGCTTTGCTATGGGGACCACACTCAGGATGGTGTCAGTGTGAATCTGGGCCCCTGGTAGCAGCTGTGAGAAAACTCTGGTAAAATGCTCCTGCGTAGGCAAGAGGTAGAAAATTGCAAGTCCTCTCTTATCTTGTTTTTGTCACCAAAAGAAGATATATATGCTGTCTGCATTGCTTCCCATGTGGGTAGGAAAACCCAGTTTCACAGTGTATAGAAGGGATTTGCCTCAAACCCTTGGATTAGGTACATATGAGAAGTTGCAAGGACAGCTTTAGGAGGAGGATGGTAATCCACAACATCAGTTTACAGCAAACCAGCCTGTTAGCAGGAGTCAGTTGACAAAGCTGCATTGAAGCAGAGGATCTGTTCCTTCCAGGATAAACTTCAAGGTTCACAAAAAGGCCAAGTTCAGGATATGCCAATTCTCCATCTGCAGCTGAGCAAATGATACAGTAGCAATTTCCCAGCAGGATATTCTAAACCGTTAATAAAGTCAGAGAGACAGAAGGCATTTTCCTTGAGCTCTCAGATCAACATGCAGGCATGCTGCTGGCTGCGTTTATAGGACTTAGACAAGTGAAGGATTCACAGAGTTTCAAGTGTTTTGTGCACTTGACACCCCAACATTTAACTCTTGCAGCTTCCCTTCAGGAGAAGGGAAGACGGGACTATCATATGGCTGGAGGCTGGCTGAAATCTTTTTTACTTGTGTTGAAGGGGAAGGAAAGATAGGAATGGAGACAGAATATATGTGCTTTTCTTTGCTCTTATAATTTAGCTAAGAAAAATGCATCTCCTTTATGTATATAGTCTCCAGTAAGGGCAGAGAGCAATTAAGCCACTACTTACATAGATGTAGTACAATAGTGACAGTGTCTCTAGAATCATCTCTGTGCTGCAAATAGGAATCACTACCAAAACCTCTCTTCATTGTTTTCTCTGTAGTGTGATTTTTTAAAAGAAATTATGTATTTCTACTAAATTTTCATTCCATTGTAAAGGAAAGTAGAATGTAATACTAAACTAAGTAGCTGCCTTCATAGCTGGTGTTAACCAGCCCAATTTCTATTACACTGGTGATTTTTTGTATCACACACTTGAAAAGCGACACTTGAAGTAATTTCTCTTCTCTGAGAAAGCTCAGGGAGTTTCTAGCTGTGTAAACCTCTTTCCCTCCATCTTCAAACCCCAGGACAGCATTACACAGACTGAAGCAGAGCAGGCTCATAGCTGGGCAGGTAGAGGGAGGACACCCTCGAGTTCCTCTGCCCCCTCCCCAGGCTGTGCAGGGCACACTGCTTCCCTCAGCACAACTCTATACCTCCAGGTAAAAAGTAAATCCAGGGCAAGAGATTGTAATTGGATCCAATATTAGAAAATTATCTCAAAGCTAGTGAATATCTTCAGCAGGGGTTTTCTATCATAGTTTTATTGAATCTGAAAGCAAAAAACCCTGCCAAGCAGCTGTCCCATTATATTTTACTCATATCAAATACTAATAAGCCTCTGATAATTCTGTCTCAGTTACAGCTTTAACCAATAACATCACTCTCATCAGTTTAGCATCACACTCCTCAGTTTAATATGCCCTGAGAGCCTTACCTAATCTGTCATTACAATATTTGTCTGATACTTTACCACCCACTCAGGCTACTGTGCTGCCGGTTCTGCTCTTTAGAAATGATAAAGCTGGATTTACATCTTCACTGTCATTATTGTAAATAGAGAAAATGGATAGAACTTCCTTTTGGATCTGAGTTTTTGTTCTCAATATGAGCTCCCCAAGGTTATTAGAAAATCAGGGAGACTGGAAACCAAAGGCAGTCCCACAGCTGAAGCGTAAAAAATATATTTAGGAGAAAACTACTGAGTAAGAGATCTTTATGTTATTCCCACAGGAGAGGAAACTGAGCAGCAACTCAATAACATTTGTATCATTACTTATTTTTTTTCCTTCATTTTTCTCTATTTCGTTATATTTATTTTGAGGATTTTGTTCCTAAATGCAACCCTGACATTTTGATCACCTAGAAATAATACACTGGTTGAATGGTCCATTAAATGGTAAAAGCTAATCCACATGCAAAGAAGGGAAGTGGCCACATATATATATAAAACCATTTTTTGTTGTTGTTCTATACGGCTCCCCCCTATGCTCCCACTCCCAATTCTTGTGATTAAATCACAGGAAAAAAATAATGTTTTTTAAATAGTTGGATGAGATAGAGAAAACCAGCAAAAAATTCAGGCAGAATTATTTTACGATTCCCACAAATTTGTCTTTTTTCTCCTCAAGAGTTAAGGGACAGTGTCTGCAAAATGATAATTTCAAATAAAGGTTGCAATTTTCCTTTCTCTATGGAACTCATGACCTATTAGCAACATACAGAGAGAAGCGGGGTTGTCTTGATCTATAAACTTTTCTCTTAGATAAAAACTTCTGAGAGACAGGGAATTTAAACATCCAACTTTGGACTGAAAATATCTTGGATTTCCATATTTAGCTCTTTGTGTGCTGAAATTTCTCTCCTTTTAACTGTTTCTTTAAAATGTTAGGGTTTTTTCTTTTAATGTATTCTAAACCTGTTTTTATTGAGGAAAGCAAGACAAGTACATAGGAAGAGCAGAAAAATAACAATAAAATCAGCATAAGTTCTTGCGTAGCCTTTCTGTAGAACATACATATTACCCTTGTTCCAGAAGGGAGGTTTATCTTGAGTTTGCTGTTTTATAGTATTTAGATATATACAAATTGTTGCGTATTGTTTTAATGAGGGGAGTAGAAAATCTGAAATTCCACACTAACAGGAATGAGTTCCCATTTACTCTTTAGTTTCTCTTTTTCTCCATCCGTGGTAATAGCCCTAGAGATCTGCTATGGAGAAGGCAGGGGATTTTAGTAATTGAGTGGTAAGATACTTTCCTTGCCCTTAGAGATAAGTCTGTAACCCGCTGAGCAGATTCCCCAGGGCATCACAGCAACTGAGAAAAAAATTTTGGGTACTCAGTAAAAATCACATAGGAAAAATACCTGCAGAGACCATTTCGCTTTGGGAATGGGACTGATATATCCCACGAGGAATGATACAAGATTTGATGCAAGCATAATCTCTTTCTGTTCACCCTTAAAGAACTTTTAAGAAATAAATATAACACTGCCCTCAGGACAAAGCAAGAGGTCCACGGGAAATGGCCACAGATCTGTGCACAGCAGAACTGGTTTGATGGGACTCAGGTGGTTGGAAACTGAGCTGTAGCAATTGCTGTAGCAAAAGCAGCTCCCCAGGAAACCCTAATACATGAATTTCAGACAAGTAATTCTGCCCCTGTGTGTGCCAAGGAGCTTGGCTGTCAGGCTGCTCATCCAGAGTGACACTCCCGTGGATCTAACTCACCCCTGTGGGCTCTGAGCTCTTAATCACGGACTGTCCTCTTTGGGGAGTGTGAGAGAAGCCCCGCTTGATTTAATTAAGACAAGAGACGAGCTGACTGGGAGCCTTTGGAAGAACAGAAGTCTCTGACTCTTCCATTGGGTTATCTTCCCACTTGAAAGTGAGGGGCTAGGTCTCAGCATCCACTCTCCCCTATTTTACCCCAGCTTACAACCTGGCCCCTAGTTATTTTTGGAAGGTGCAGGGGAAAAGAGAGACTTTCATAGATCTAATCTCTCTGCTAGTGAGTGTGTAGGGATTTGGTTAAATATCTATTCCATTAAAGAGAGAACTGAGGTAAGTGAGAAAGAGGAGACATTTAGGAAGGTGAAGAGGAATTTCCTTAGGGTATCTGGGAAGAGCACCTGCCTGTGACACAGACTGTGATGCTCTTGATACTCACCAGGCATAGCAGGACTGGAAGAAGGGAGTGAGGAAGAAGATGCCCAGATAAGGGTCCATGTGAAATATAAAATCCAAATAAAGAGGGAGAAAGGAGATCCTAAAAAAAACCCCAAACTTGGGTACCACCACCACCAGAGAAAGGGGGAAAAAAAAAAGAAGCACAACTAATTTAGGGAAGGGATGGAGTTATTTTCCACCCGGCAGTCCTGGTGTGATGAAGAGGCGGATGCCTCCTGAATCCCACCTTCTGTGAAGGATAACCAATCCTAAAGTAAGAGCTAAAGGGGGCTGGTGAAATGGAGCCGCAGAACTTCCTAAGAAGAGATTATCTACTTAATTAAAGATTTTTTTTCCCCTAAGTCCTTCAGCCAATCAGGACTCAAGTGCCAGAGAGAGATTGAACTGATGAAAAGAACACCCCAGGTTCCTCGAAGACAAATGCACCACGAAAGGGATAAGAGGGAGGGAAAAGGAGGGGGGAAAGAAAAAAAGAAAGAAAAAAAAAAAGAGAGAGAGGGATAAAGAAAGAGACAGCAAATCCCTTAAAGTAATCACTAGGTTCAATCTCCACCAGCACTGCCCTCGCGCTCCATTCCCGGCAAAGGCAACTGGAAGGGCTGCTTTTGAAGTGTCCTCTCCTTCTCCTGCCTTGGAGACACTGCTGAGCTGGGGTGCCCTGGGTCCTCTGGGCTGGGGGGATTGGGTTCAGGCTGTCTGCATCTTCGGCTTGGGTCACAGATATGAGATCATTGTCTCTGCCTCAGTCTCCCCCAGAAGTTTAAGGAGGATCAGGGACAGTTCCTACCTTCATATGCTTCTCCTTCATCATGGTGACCTGCTCTTTCTTCCCACCTCCTGTTTGCATCAGGCCATCCTCTCCCCAGAAGAAAGGCCTCTGGCTAAACCTTCCTATTCCCCCTTAATTTTTTGCTTTTGGCATTTCCTATAAAGTCCATAGGAGGGGGTCTTTGGTTTGGGTTAACAGTCTCTCACTAAGGGTTTATCCCAGGCCAGCAGCTGCTGGAGCTACTTAGAAGTGCCTCCAGCCTGTGGCAGCTGGCTACATGGGACATCCCAGTTACTGTCACTGCACCCACCACAGATACCCTGACTGGCCCTAAAGCAACATGAACAGTTGTGTCAGCATGTCCCAAAGCCATAGGAAGATCTCCACATTATGCAATTGAATTTTGTGCTGTGGACATGATCAGCCAAAACATGGGCTGAGACCAGTCAAACTCACTTCATCCAGGGCACAGCTACCAAGCAGAAGTGCTGGACCCAGGCAGGATTTGAAGAGGACTGAGACCGTGTGGCTGAGCCATCAGGCAGGGCTGGCAGCAGGTTGAGCTTTGCTTGGGGATGCTTCAGGTGGATGAAAGTCCCTCCTGGGCTGCAGAGTCTAAGGAAAGGAAAGCTGCTCAGCAGAGGTTTGCTCTCTGATGGATTTTGGCTGTCTCACACTGAGCCCAGCTGTGCTGAAGTCAGGGAGCCCTCGCCAGGCACAGCACGTAGGACACTGCTGGCAAAACAGTGCCTTTGCCCAGAGCACTGCCTGTCCAGCCAGGGCTCTCCCTCGCCCCAAGGGTGGCTGGGCAGTTTCTGGACACCTAGAAGAGGAGGAAATGCAGGTGGAGGAAATGGCAGCAATTTATCCCAGGGCCAGCTGTGCCCCCAGCTGTGTCCTATTACAGCAAGACTGATGGTACTTGCACTTATTAAAGCCCCAGGTCTTGGAGCACTGAGCATTTTAAAAACTAGGGTGTTATGTATGCTGAGAAAAAGCTTGAGAATTTGTCTAGTAGAAAATAAAACCCCAAAAACTGAAAGGTGAGGGAAATGAGCCCTTTATTTATTCTTAAATTATTTTTTAAGAATACCATTTAAAATTATTAATTATATTGAAACAAAATTTCAATGCTGTGATGTTTAGCGCTGTTTAATTATTTTTATGGTCTAATTCAAGTAGTGGAGGTAGCTGTGCTCCCCCTCCTAGGCTGTCCTGGACTCGGTGCAGAGAGCAGCTGCAGAGGCTGATGCTGCCTCAGAGGAGCTGAAGGTCTGCCAAGGGGCTCAGTCTCACTGGAACAGCAGTGGTGACATGCAGGAGATGCCACCATCCTGCATTTGGCATCTATTTCTGATGGTAGAAAGGGGAAGAATTTTTAGTTGTTTTTTGTAAATCTCCAACTGTCTATTTCAAGATTCTTGAGCTGAAGTTTTCACATTTCTCAGGTCCGGCAGCAACAGCATTTTGAAATCATGCAACTCTTCAGATATTTCTTGACCAATTGGAAAGGAAAGACTCCATTGGGTTCACTGGGGTGAGCTGTTTTTGTTACTCCACAACAAATTAAGTAAGAAGATTACAAAAAGTAGGAAAAAAAATAATAGTAGGTGGATCCAAAATAAACAGATGCAATTAATTGTTTTTATTTACTGTTGCAAGAAGCACCCAGGCCTTTCTCTGAGCTCACAGAAGCACCAGCAGCTTTGGAAACATCAGCCTCCTCTGTCAACATCTACTTTCAATTAAATGCAATACTCATTTTCCTGGAAGCAAGCTTGTTTTTCAAACCAAAGGAGCTGGAGGCGAAGTCTGAAACAAAACTGTTCCACACACGTTTCAAAGTATTTAATTACGGTTCTAAAAAGCTATTAAAAAGATTCTAAGAAGCACTGTCTAAAGAAGTGAGATGGGAAATTGTTTATCATGTTCCTCAAATTTTGTTATTGTTAATGACAAAAGCTCTGTAAATTTACTAAATGAATGCAGAGAGAAGTAAAACACATTTTATAGCCAGATCTGGAACCTTACCTCACTTGACCCGCTGGCCAATACAGATCTTTTCTGACCTTTGCACTGAGTACTGTGATGTGTGTTTGAGTATTTGTTCATTTCCCAGAATGGCAGGCAGGGCTTGAAGACAACAGCAGATAGAGAACCTGCCACCTTCTGCAGTAATTACTTCCATTTTATTAAAAAAACAAACAAACAAACAAAAAACCCCAAAAAACAGCAACAACAACAACAAAATCCCACCAAAACAAAAACACACCAAATTTTAATATAATATGTCTAAGTTTAATTTCCAGAGTACAGAGAAAATCTGAACTATCCTAAAAGAACTTGTACAAGTTATCACAGAAGTCAGAGAAAAAGTGAAAAATAAGACCTGTAACACTCCTGCTTCCTTCTACCCCAGTACCAATGCAACAGATGCATATGGAAAAAAACGTTACGAAATGGGGGTAATAATTCCAAGTCTGGCTCATAGATATCTCAACAGTTTCTTGGTGTCAATGCAAAGTGCTCAAAGAACAGATTTGTTAAAACAGAATGGGCATGAAAAAGGTCAAGAAATAATTTGACATTTCTTCTGTTAAAAGATATGCAAATGTATGAGATCAAAAGAAAATGAAATTAATCTTATCTAGGCAGCACACTAGAATTCAAACCTGAAAGGCCTGAAATAGTCACAGGAAGGTCCGGCTTCCAGTGAAGTAAGTGACTTTCAATTATTTTGACTGTAGCTTTGCCTTTTGGACCAACTAAACGCATCTTTATTAGTGCCTAAAGTCTGTCAAAACATCCACCAGCAGCCCAAGAAGGAGCACGTGCTGCTCACAGTCCTGTACTGGATATGCCCTGTAGTATTCTGCTTTAGTCAAGTGGCTCCAGAAACAAAACCAAATAAAGGCTGGGGAAATGCAATAGCTTTCATGAGATCAACTAACATGCAATAGAAGCAAACATGGAATTTTTAGCATTTTGGCTTTGAAAAGGCAAGAAAGGTGCTGGTGTGCCCAGAAGCCTCTCTGTTTATTATCGTGTTTAGCTGTATGAGTCTGAGATTGTGCCATTAAAGACAGTATTGACACACCAGAAAACGTCAACAGTGATGCGACCTCTTTGCTGTAAGCTTGATTTTGTAACTTAGCACTGCTCCCCCACGCTGTTCTGTGCATGGGTGACGCACGCAGAGCAGCCTCCTGTGAGGTCTGCTTGTGCTTTACCAGTGCTGAGAGCATCCTCACATTTGTAGGTTCTCCATAAGGTTCATGCAGGGACAGCTCAGTGGATCCTTATCCACTGCAGTGATCTGTGGGATGGGACACATCCATCATATGCATCATAGGAAATTACTTGACCTGAGGAAGCAGACCTGAGGAACCCACAAAAATCTACTTGGAGCCAGCTTAAACAGGTCCACTGTTGCACCAGAGACATATATTTTCTTTCCTTTTCAGGCTCTCAGTGCTCCCTTCAATAATATTTGGAATATTTGTAAACAAAACTACATTTCAAACTGTAATAATGAAGCATTAAAAAGACTGCTCAGTGACATGCTTCAAACTTTTTTAGCTGAAACTGTTCACAAGCTCTGCAAGAGCCCTAAATAACACCAGCTAATTTACAACTGGATCTCCTTCACCCAACTCAGTTTGTTTGGCTCTAGTGCAGAAAGACTGGTTTGGAGGCCCTTTTGTGAGGCTGACAGGAGGAGGTTTAGCTGAGGGATTTGTCCAACCCTGTGATTTTTTCATCTCTGATTTGCTATGCAGTCTAATGACTGTGCAGCTCTGGGTTACCCTGTAATTTGTCCCTCTGACAAGCCAGCCTGCTGTGTCAAAGCCAGCAGATGGTGCTCCCAGCCTGGCCTTGGCTGGGCTGCAGCTCAGCCCTCCCGTGGAAGAGCATCCCTGGATTGCAGGGGTGCAGGGAAATGCTGCTCTTCTAGGCATGGCCACGTCCAGCACAGACAACAGGCTCTGCACAAGATCCAAGCTTAGAAATTCTCCTTTCCTCCTCCCTGTTTCTCCAGACCGAGGATCTTGAGGCTCAGAGCAGGTAAAGTCCAAAGATGATTCTGACTGGTTGTGTCACAGCAGTGGTGTGGAGCTGCTGGTGGCTGTGCCCAGAGCTGGAGGTCAGTGCCACGGTGCAGCTGCCACCTGTGTGCTGCAGCACACTCTCCACAGCCAGCCACTGTGGTGGCCGATGAGACTCACACCAACACCTGGCCTTAGCTCAGGGATGAGCAGATGCTCACCAACTCTCAGCAGGAAGGTGGATGTAAGGCTGTCAGCAGTATGCACAGATCTGTATCCACACTTCACTGATGTGCCTTTTAACAGGTCCTGGGACAAACCCCAAGGTCAGGGACCAGCAAATCTGGCTCAGCTCTTTGCCCTACAACAGCAATGAAAACTGCACTGGGGTAAGTCCAGTGAGGTCCTTCCTCTTTGCCTACAGCTGACTATCATGACTAACCTTCTGCATTTATCTGGAATGAGTCAGACCTGTAAAATCATGAGACCAGCTTGAAAATAATACGCAGTGCAAGCTATTTGTGTCCAAGTCTTTAATGTACTCTTGGGGCTTGTTTCTTCTGGAAATGGCAGAGCTGGGAACATGCTGTTCTCTTGTAAAAAAGGCAAGCTGGGCTCCAGGCAATTGGACTTTCCAATGAACACCCAATGTCAAAAGACTTGCCAGAAATTATGGGGGTAGTGACACTGAGCAGGCAAATAGGGCCTCTTTGTGTTGAGCAAAACTTGCTGAGTGTGAGTCCGGGCTGTTTGCCTGAGAGATCTCACACGTTCCGTGTTTGTACATTAAAATACTGAATCCTTTTTACTCTGTCTTTAGCTGAGAACTCCACTTGGCCTTGCGTGTAATACACATTACTACCCTTTACGTTGGGAGTGGCCGCATTTTAGTGGTGAACATCAGATCAGCCCATGGGGTGTGGTGGCTCCCAGTGAGCTGTAAGGAAAGCTGAATCATCTCCCCATAAAACCCAGGGTGCAGGATCTGGCTCCAGCTCCAGCGTTCCCCAGTGTCATCTGCACTGGCTAGGGCTATTTCTTTTGTCAGAATAGTCAGCTAGTCTTAATAAATGGTGATGATGATGATGAGTTTGGAGGCTGAATCAGGGAGCCAAGATGAAGAAACAGGTCCAAGATGTCAGGATAAACTGGCACCACAAAATCTATCACCAATCCTTTGCAAATGTCATTGCTGACAGAGCCACTATCAGGCTTTCTGTCACAATCTTAAACACAGAGCATTTTAATGACGTTTGTTGGAAAAATGTTACAGACAGACTGTTGTTGGAAAACCCTGACCCATTTTATAAGTGTCCCAAGAAAGAAGCATAAATAATAAAGCATTACTTTTGCTTGCCTGTTTGGAACAAGCCCCTTGGCTTTCATACTGCCAGCCTGGTCAAGGTTTCACCACTGATGTGGGCCACCACAAAGAGGTGCTTTGTTGAAGCACAACACTCTCTGAAGGAGATGTTTCTTTTCCCTAAATGAAACATCACCTAAAATGAACCAGATATTTCAGTTACAAGTTAAGAGCATGGTCTGTGTCCTAATCAAGATTTTTGCTGTGTCCTAAAACCAGAAATGCAGAGAGTGAGGGAAAAAGAATTGTGGTTAGAAATAATTAGGGTTTTTTGAGTGCCACTGTTTTGAATCACAGGTAGAAAAGAGGGCTTTGTGCTGTCAAGTGCTACTGAGGGGAGTCAATACATGGTGACAAGCTTTTGGCTTGTTATATTCATTTGTCACAACTGACAGCAGTCAAGCCTACTCTGTATAAATCTTTTATGAAGTCGTTCTTACCTCCATCACTGCAGCATCCCGGGACATGGGCTACTGAAACCCTTCAGTATACTTATGAAGTGTCAGCTGTTGACTAGAGGCTGGTAACTGAGGCATGACATAGATAATGATTTGCCCAGACTTAGGCAGCCAAATGGTGTCTCATATGGTACATCTGAGCTGAAAACAAACCAGGATATAGCCTGTTAATAGTGAGAGGAGGGAGCTGAGGGTGCCCATACAACAAATCGCTGCTCAGAAGGAGGGTACCCTGTAGCAGAAGATGCAAGAACATCCTGGCTTCTGGACAGAGGTTGCTATGAGCTGAGACCCTAGTACACTGGGATGGCACTGCCTCAGCAGTACAAGAAGATCCTGTATAAAATCAGCTCTTTACAAACACTGGCATTTATATGGGGACCTGTATCTGGTGTCAGAATGAAAGTCAACATCAAAGTTTGCATTGGTTTCACATTAACATATGCAAAGTAGGAATGAGCCCTACTTTGTGGAGGACTGTTATTTCTATGGTTTTCCCCCCCTCCACGCAGCCCCCCGAATGAATCCGACTAGCTCAGAGATATGGGGCTGTGAGGGGAGGAAATAGCATGAGAGGGAAAAGTATTCAAAAGAGGCTCCTTACCCAGGGTGTTGGAACAGCTCTCTTTATTCTGTGGTGTCCATGGAGAGCGGGGCAAAAGAGGAAGAGCAGGAAGTTTCAGGGGTCTATATAGGTTTTGGACAGGGTGGGCTCTCCTGGCTCCCCACCAACCCCATTGGGGCAGGAGGGAGGATTCAGGGGTTATCTTGATCAGAGCCACAGAGGCCCTAGGAAAGTGGGGACAAAAGGGTGTCCAGGAGCTCACCGTAACAGAGGACAAAGCATTCTTTGCCATGAGAGAAAGGGGCAAAAACCCCCAACCACCACATTAGAAGACACTATTTATATAGTTTCTTTATACAAATGTTCATATTGATCCATCACAGGGTGGTATTTTTTGGAATAATGTACTTTACATAGCTTTATCCTTACCCATTGCCACTGTGAAAGACAAGCTAACTCCCAGACTTTGTGTTGTCAGATTGCAGTACCTTTTTGGACACAGAGTCAAACCTTTCCTCTCCTCAGTTTTGAGAGATATGGCAACATAATTCAGACTTCATGCCATCTGGGTGGCCGAAGGGGAGTCTGTGATTCAGACACATTGCGCCTGCAGTTCCCGGTCCGACTCCAGGGTGGCGATGCTGCCTCAGCTCTTACTCCGGCTAATAACGCTCACTGTGCACTCTGCGAAGGGATTTTTTTATTAGCACCACTGAGTGTTCTGAAAGATGATTGCATATGGCAGGAGTCATTCTTACAACCACGGTCTGCCTGGTTTTGCTACATCTGAAGCCGTGCGTGTAGCTGCTGCAACATCCCTTACCTGCCCATGGATTGTAACCAGGGGAAGAACAGAGTGTCCTAAGAAATTACACGTGTCTTGTTTCTTTTTATTATTTTTTATTACAGATGGTGTCAGTCATTGGTAAGTGGTTATGCTAAGAGGAGATAACATATCCCACCCAGGACACAGGCGCTTCTAATTCCAGCTCAGCCTTTGATCATGGATAAATTATTCTTCTTTCACATGCTTCAGTCTCTCTCCCCATTCAAATGTCTGTTTAGACTGTAAGCTTTTGGAGACAGTGGGTGTCTCATAGCGTGCAGATACAGAATGTAGTACTGAAACTGTACAGCACCCAGAACAATGGAGACCTTGATCTTGATGGCAGCCTTCACCCATTATCTTAATAGAAGCATCCAAGTCTATATTTGAAACAATTTATCTGAACAATCTTTTGGCCATAATGACTCCAGATCAGACACATGATAAAAAGTGACAGAGGAAATTGTGTATGTAAAGCCATTTTATATCTTTGAAATGACTGAAGATGTAGCTATTGCAGTCCAAGTGGAGGTTAGTGCCCTCCAAGTGGCAGCGCTGCACCTCAGACACGAAGTATGTGCCATTTCCATTGCCTGCTAGAAGCTTTCTTCTGAGTAGGGAAGAGAAATTAACTCCAAGTCTTGGATCCCAAAGGGCAATTTTGTAGCAATTGTGGCTCTCTGCAGGAAGCAACTCCTTAGAGGGCTGAGTACTATACTGGCACCAGAGAGGGAATTCGTACCTCCATTACGAGGGAACACTCTACCCATCTGAAGAGGGAGCAAAAACACAGGTTTGAGGAGACTGGACCCTCCAGCCCTCCAGTCCCTTTTCCATTTTTAAGAACATGCCAAAAACACTACGGGAGATAGGAAGCATCAGTTATTAAGGAAAACTCCCTTTTGACTAAAAACATCTCTCAAAGGACATTTCAATGGGGAGATTTTGAGCATAAGTAGTGTGAGGACCATTAATACTGTTTCACCGTCACTATGAGGGTGAACTTCCCATCTTGTGTGGCCGAAGAGCCAGTGTGCAGATCCACAGTGTACCTCACCTCCAAGAGTATATCTTCCAGCTTTGCTGGGCTGCAAGGAGCAGATCTGTGTGCTGCCTCTACCAGAGAAGTTTATTTCATTGGTGTACTACTACCTCTCTTAACCAAGACATCATTCTGTCATTCAAAAGGCCTGGTAGTGCTTCTTTAGGCCAGTTTGGTGCCTTATGTGGCCCCAGCTCAATAGACACATATTCACACTGTGCAGGATCCTCCTGGCAACACTAGGCATACCAAAGCAACAGTGAACCTCTGTTCCTCATTAACTAGCCGCTTTCTAATCCAAGCCTTGCTATTTTTATCCAGCTGAGATTTCTTCACCCCTTTATTAGATAAATAATGTGGCAATCTCTCAAATGTCTGGCCAAAGGCAAAGCAGTTTGCAGTCATTTCTGGCCCTACTGCCAGAAATCAAATGGCATCTTGCTTACTAAGCTGATCCCAGTAATAGGTTTTCCTCTCCTATCATCTGGATATCAGGACTCTGTCAGCATTTCCACTAAACTAGGGGTCTCTTTCCCCTTCTCTCCCAAAACAACTGCATTAATGACATAGTAGAGGAGAAATTCAGCAGCATCCTACTATGTCCACCATCTTCCCAAACCCCAAAGGAGCAAGTGCCTTATGTGCCTCAAGGGAGGTTGTAGGAACTCCAAAAAATCACTCAGTCCTCTGAGATTTCTGTCCTCGATGTCCAACAAATGGGAACAGTGTCCAGTGCCCTGTCCTCTTGTGACCTTACCCCCAGCGTGCCCTAGAGGTGATACCTCTCATTGAGAGCTGCGTGACTTTTCTGGCTTGGACCACCAGCAGACACAGCTGGGGCTTCCTCTGAGGTGTGTCAAAGCACACACATCCAAAATGTGCTAAGCCCTATAATAACAGGGAGAAGGTGGCCCCAAATATGTTGTTTGTAGCATCAGCTAAATGCTAATTTGGAACTGATTTTCCTCCCACTTTGCTGGGCTATCTTGAGAGAATAAAAGCCAGAATTCCTGAGGAGCTAGAAATTACTACCAAGTTTTCAAGGGCAAAACTCAGAAAACATCTTAAAAAAAAAAATCAAAAACAAAACAAAAAAACAGTCTTAAAAATCTCTGGTTTCTGAAAAATAAAGAACCCCTCCCCTCTGAAAACTCTGCTTCACACTGTCTTTGGTAGGATTTCCAAAATCACCTGTATATACATAAAAGCCTTGGGCTGGGTGTCCTTTATGCAGGGCTAAGATGGTGGATCATTCTCTCATGGCCAGTCAAATATGTTAATAAATTTATTTCAGGCCTAGGGGCTCAGCCTGTGCATTTTAGAGTTTGTGCTGAAAGTAGCACAAGGTGGAAACTACTCTGCTGAAAAAAGGTAGACTGACCTCCACTGAACCTCTGCTATGCCTTGTCCCTCCTTTCAGGTGGGGGGATTTCTAGGGAATAGAGGGAAGCTGAGCAGTTGGACTTTCCTATAAAAGGAGACTATGGGGATAGATCATCTGGAAGACATGGGTATTGATGATATGTACTAGAAACTACAGAAAGGGTGGGTTGCAGCCAAACTGTAATGCAGGTTTGGAGATTAAGCCTCAGAAGCTCTGTGGTTTGTGCCATTGTTTAAGGCTGGTAAAGCAGCTGCTAGAGAAAAGGGGAAACAGATTAATTTGCATACTACTTATTATAACTGTGGAGGGGAAGGGGAGCAAAGCAATGCATGGTCTGCTCTCAGGGAGGGAAACATACTTGGTTGAGTAGAGACCTATCTTTTTTAATTCTCCCTTGTTTCTATCGCTTTTCTGTAACTAGGTATGCTCTGGATAGTGTAAAGGAAATTTTACCACTCTGATACTGGGAGCCTGAAGAAACCCTGAGTCCCCAGAGCCTATAAATGTTTCTGAGAGCTCAGGGTCTCCTGCTGTTGTAGAAAACAGTGCCCTTGTCCCTAGCCTTACATGCAATGAAGGCTTGTGAAAGTCTCTCTTCTGATGATATGGCAGTCTGACCTCCCATGTGGCCTTTCTCTACTTATTGTTGGGATATCATCAGGGTCTAGAAGTTTATTAATCACTTCTGGGGACAGAGCTGCTATTTTAAGTGCCTTTATTCCCTCTTCCAGAGGCACAGGAAAGCTATGGAGCCAGACCAGAGACACTTCTCTGAGGGGAAGGAATGGATGTAACTGGGGTTTAACTTGAGTAGGTGTATAAATTACCTCATACAGGTTCCCTTTTTAGGTCTCTGAACATCTTAATAGTTCATGGGTAGGCTCTTCCCTATGCCAGAGCAGGTCTACTGTGGGATCTCTTTGAGCAAGCCAGGAGTATTTCGCAGCTGATGACCTCTCAGATATTGGGGTGGAGGGGCAGAGCTCCATGAAGTGACATCAGAGGTGCTGGAGACTGAGGCCATCCTTGGGTGAGGTCTGTCACTGACCTGCTACCTTGGTTGGGTGATGTCATCCTTAGTGAAGGTTGGTGTGCTGGCAGTGCCTGCTCAGGACACTTCACTGAAGTAACCCCTTGTTCCTCACATGTCAGAGAGTGTGGTGTTCATCAAACAGCCATTTGCCTGGCACCACTCTTATCTGAGGGTCACTGTTCTCAGGTTACTGTGCTCAGCCAAAGATTTGGCAACTCCCTGGTGTTTGGTTGTCCAGTTATTCCTTTAATGGGTGCAGCAGGACCACAGGCTGCAGCAGGGATTGGTTGCATAGGGCTAGGAGCAGTGGGGCTTAGTAGTGAAGAAGGAACAGGAAGATGTGGAAGAGCTTGCACAGCTGATCGATGGCAGAGTGGAATAAACTCCAGTTCATGTTTTATGTATCAGGGGAGAAAAAAGCACATTTTTAAAATTCTCATTAGACTTTTACAGGGGTAAAGGAGAGTGGGAAATTTCTGCCCTATTGATGGAGAAGGTGATATGCTCACCTTGTTGCATACAGAGCCAGACCAGAGACACTTCTCTGAGGGAAGGAATGGAGGTAACTGGGGTTTAACTTGAGTAGGTGTATAAATTATCTCATACAGATTCCCTTACTCTGTAATTAATTTAGGTCCTAAAGTGATGGGATTTAACCTTAGTGTTCTTGCTGGCTCCCCTCTGGCATTTCTGGCAATATAGCCTTGGAGAACTCTCACTTGATACCCTAAGGTTTTCTAGATGCCACAAGAGGTGACATCTGTTTAGGTTGCTGGCAGCAGCAGTGGGGAAGCTTTAGAGGGCACTGGAGCCACGCCATCAGCTGCCATACTTGCTGGTGCACAGGCAGAAGTGAAGGCATGTTGCATTCTGAAGCTGGGAGGTTCCTGCTAGAAGTGTGGGGATTTGACAATGTTTTGGCACTGGTAGAGAGGATTAGAAATTAGTTCCTCTAGCTCTACAGGTGCTTACACCCCAAAGGCTTTCCTTAAAGTCTGAGGCAGAAGTGGAAGTAACAAAGCTAAGCAATGTTTTCAGGACTGTCTCAGCAGGACTGATATCACCCATTTCACACAGATGAAAGAGATTAGAGGAAAAAGGAAAGCAAGAATTCAGAACATTGAGTGAATAAAATTTCATTACTAATATCATTAAAGCATAGCTGAGCCAGCTCATTTCCCTGTTTTTGAATCACACACTATTTGGCTTCTTTCACTTGAGCACTAAACAAATCCAACTGCTGTAGGCAATGTGTAGGCTCAGGAGGTCCCACAGCCTGAGGGACCTTCTTTTGCCCTCAAAATGAGGTGCTGGGCACAAAAGCAAACATTTCATTATCTGCCCATGCAGGCAGGTGATAGTGGGAATTCAGCTGCTGATTGCAAATGTTTGCTGACCACAGCTTGCCAGCTCCAGCTGCCAGCACCCAGAAAGCTCTCAAAGCCAGAACCTCATCAGTGATGACAATGGTGGGGGAGGGAAACACTGGAAAAACTCTGTTGCATGTCTTAATAAATCATAATGTTGCTGATATCAGTGTGCTGGTACTGAAGGAGTTACTGGAGGCAATAAGCTCATCAAGCAGGAAGTTTTGCTTCAGTGGCAGGGCATGAGCTAGCACTGTATGCATGCACACTTGGAGGTCAGTTGTGCATGAAAGATTTCAGTGATCAGGCTGAAACTGTACCAGAAAATCTGGAAGGAAATTTCACCTGTCAAAGCTTTTGTTTCTTTAGTTTAATCACCATGGCCATGTTTTGGACTGATAGTTTTGAAAATATAATCTAGTGGCAAGAGACTGCATTTGATTCTCAGCTTTGCCACGAATGCTCTGGGCTGCCTCTTGCACGGCAGCTCTGTGCCTGTATTTATAGATGGGGATTTTGCCTCTTGGGTGATAAACTCTCTCTGGGGAAGAGCTGCAAAACTGTGTGATCTGCTCAAAATTTTCAGTACCTACATGGAAGAAGTGCTTCACAGAAGGTGAGGTTATTGGTAGTTATTAAAAATAGAGGTTCAGATATAATCTGGCTGTTCTTCTATAGCATCTTCAAAGAATCTGCTGCTGGCTGTGCTTAGTCAGAGGATACCTTTGGTCTGACACAGTAAAATTAGTTTTGCTGCAATAGGTAGTCAAACAACCTCACATTCTTTTTATAGATGGAAAAATCTGGCTGTTGCTTCATTGGAGGTACAAACTTCAGAGCCCTGGAGAGATGGGAATGCAGATTACCTGGAGGCAGATTAAAAGGGAAGCTTATTAAGATAAATTGTCAGGGGTCTCATCTATTTGCAGCAGTGTGCCTTCCAACACTTGTTACTTTTCTGCTTTAGAAGTGATGAGTTTGCACAGATTCTCTGGACTTCTGTGGAAGCCACAAGGCATGTGGAGATGCTTTAGTAAAACAGCAGACTCGAGCAATGCCCATGTTTGCAGAGTGATTAAGTAGCAGAGTTGGGTCTGCCAGTTCATGGTCCCCAGCCGTGCATTGAAGCATGAAGGGAAGTCAACATGTGGATGATGGAGCAGAAAGCACTTAGCTGGCTCTTATGTGGGACCTTCTCCTTTTGAACAGATCTTGCCCTTACAGACATGCACGTGGTTCCTGTCAAGTCCCTCCACAGGGTTGAATTTGACTGAATTTCCTATAGTATATTACTGGGGGAGGAACACGTACCTCACAGCTACCAATTCTCTCTGGCAAACAGTAGCACGGGCTTTCCACAAACCATTTAATGGTTTGTTTCATCACAGAAGCTGTCCTGTGCTGGCACTGTCTATCCTAGCTGGATCTGCAGGTGCCACTATGAAGAGTTATGAGTGCCACACTCTCTAACATGTTTTTCCCAAACAGGTAGTATAAGGTCCTATTTTCTTTGATATGGAATACTCTTGGGGGAAAACTCAGATTACAACAGTCAAACAGCTCTTTGGCAGCCAGGTTATTTCTCAGCCTCTGCTGCTGGTTTCTCTGCAATGGTACTCTTGTAATCGCTATCTTGCAGTAAGAACATTTTTGGATCAGTGTCCCTATCTCCCCCAAAGCTCAGGAAGAGCTGCCTAACCCTGTCCTCTAAGCCACAGAGAAGCTATTTGCAAATACATCATGAAGGAGCCAAATTTGCAGTGGTTATAAATCTGAGCTTTTACTGAGCTTTTATTTATGCCAGCTAGTCTACAGTGTCTCAGTACTTTACACTGAGGATGAGGGTAATTATCTTTAAGCTAACCCACTTTCTAAGTGGGCACTGTTCTCTTTCAGTGCTGCACTGTGGCCTCCTCATGACCAGGAATCAGTGCTTTCTCTGCAGTAGTCTTCTCACAGAAGGGAATTGAGTGCATTTAATAAGCTAATGTGTTCTGAAGTGGGGTTTGTGTTAAAGATCCAATACCTGATCACAGACTGATCTTATAAATATTTACTATTTTATAGCCTGGAGCACTCTTATGCATTTAAACATTGACAGTGAAGAGCAAGCACACTTATAAGAATGTGTGTGGTACCAGCCTTGTGCTAGAGCTGATGTCATGAGGCCAGGAAAGTTCTCTGCCCTGTCTCTTGGGGGCAAGAAGAAGAGGCTGGAGGCCATTGGCACTGACACCACACACTGTGCCCAGGCAAACATTTGGGTTGGAAATGTCTGTATGTGCTGGCCACATGGGAAGGAGGTGTATTTTTAGGGTGCAACTAAAGGGCAAAGAGGCTGAGCTTAGAGCTCTCCTGTGCCCCAGCTTAGTGGCTCTACTGTTGCATGGCAGAGCAGCACTGGGCAGGATACGCAGAAGTGTTTCTCCAGCCAAACAGAAATCTATCACAGCACAGCCCATACTGCAGCTGAATGAAAGTAACTCACCAGGGCAGGGAAAACTCAGCTAAAGGGCTACTGACAAAGATGTGTCAGGCAATTAGTGATCCTTGCAGAATGTCCTTTACCTGCTCAGATAGAAGAAGGAGCTGACAGTAAGAATGCTGTTAAGAAATTAAATGTGTCCAGTTCTCATTGCAGAAGCATTTATTATCAGTCTGTGATGTTCTGTTAGCTCAAGGCATCCAGATAAGGATGAGGGCACAAAACAGGCTAGGAGAGCTGGGCCTCAACCCATCAATCATTCAAAACCATTATGTATGTGCAATTGGAATTTATTTGAGTCTCTTGAGAAAAAAAAAACAAACCTCTGCATGCAAATCATAAGGTGGTTTAGACACTGTTTCAGTGTCTTTCATTGCACAGGGGTTTCGTTATGGCAAGGGTTTCTGTAGTAGCAAAGGATGGGATACTGTGCTCTGGTTTTCCTCAAAGGCCTGAGGACCTGTCTTGTGAACTTCAGAGAAACAGGAATGGCTGAACACTAAGTAAATCAGGTAAGATGGAAGGTTTCTATGACAGCTCTTTGTCTTAAAATATCCCTAACCATGCTCTGGCTTCCCTGTGCTGGATGTGGAACATGAAGACTTTTGTCCACAGAGGACAGCAGAAAACCCAGGAAGGAGGAAAGCAGAATTTTCCCAGTTCCTGGAGGATTAAGAGACCTGCACATCATCACGTAGGAAGTCAACAGCAAAGTGGGAACCAAACAAATTCACTAGTAGTGATTCAGACTAGAGGCTGGCCCAGCCCATATAAAACTGCATCATCCTTCTGACTGGATAAATTCCAGTGAGAGAGCCACCTGCCAGCAGAAAATGTGGTCATCATAACTGGAACACTGTTTGAAACAAGGAGAAAAAAAGACATTCTGGACATTCTGAAATTTCCTGGTTTGGGCATTTCCAAAAAGAAGTGCTTCTAGATGTTGTTTGGAAAAGTATCTTTGGCTGTATTTGTGTGCAAAGGTGATGATCTTATACACTATTACATGGAACAGAAGGAGTCAAATCAAAGACAAAGGAAGACAAACACTTAAGGCTGAGACTGCCTCATGAACAATCAACCACATAAGATAGCTAGGAGTTTTTTTTCTGTTTTCAGATAAATCCAAAAAGTTTTTGTAAATTTTTCCTTCCATTTTTCACTTTTCTGAATCCAAATTAAAGCTAGTTGTGAAACAAAATTTTCCCTTTTTGATGCTTCTCTTATGCTCTGCCAGCATATGACTCAGCTTAGTTGGCATTGGAGAGGCTAGAGACAAAGAAAAATCTCATAAACACAGAAAATAAATCCCACACAAATATTAAAACAAAGCTACTGCATTGTTACTAGCAGTTCTAGAGACTTATTTCCTGAAAATTCTCATGTCTGCAGTATCTTCCACAGCATCAATCCCAGTATGTTACGTGGTCATTAGTCCAAAGAACATATTAATTTATGAGTCTCAGATGGCTTTGTTAGTCAGGAGTGGCAAACTCAGTTATGAGTTTTTCCCAAAGATGCAGTATTTATTATGTGCCATCAAACATCTTGATAATTTAATGGCTGGCCTTCTCAGAGGCTTGGAGTGCTCAAACAAAACTTGGGGAGAGAACCGGAAGATCTGGAAGGAATGACGTGGAGGAATGGGAGTGCTGCCTCCAAAGCTGGGCGGGATCATGGGATCCACAATGATTCCAGTCCTCTGTGTCCCCATGCTGTAACAGGGGCTGTCATGAAAGCAGAATTTAGAGCAGGGTTACTACTGGCAACTACTCCTGATCCTGCTGTACATGCCTGCCATGTCATATTTTCCATCAGTGGCAACCAGAGAGGCTGTTTGGGAGAGCCTGTGAGCTGTTTGAGGCTGTCCAGGTCTGCTCCACTCAGACCTGTGTCCGTGAACCTTTTGTGTGCGTGTCAGAGGGCACATCTTTGTTATTACCATCTGGTTATGGACCTTGTTTGCTGTGAGTCTCCCTAAAGCATTGGTGAACCTGTTGATGCTGTGGAAATTGGAAACAATTTCCAGAAGTTAATCACCCCCAGTAGGGGGGAAAAAAAAAGTATGCTTATATGTCAAGTGCATTTCAAATTTTCAGTAATTCTTGGGGCATTTTAAAACTCCTTTGCTTCAAACAAGGAAGTTGGGTCATAGGCCAAAGCCACCAAGATGTCTCAGATGACATGTTTCTCACTCTGAGCACTCAGAGCCCATGCTTACAGTTGAGGGCTCTCCTCATTAATATCCAGGTGTGGAACTCATTGCACCAAACTCATGATCTAAACAGGCATTCAAAAACTAATCCAAATATCCGTATATAGAAGTTCCAGATGCACCACCAGCAGATGATTCACCCTTTTCTAAAACAGGTATCTCAGACTGCTGCTGTGAGTCACCATGAGCACCACCTCCATGTCTCCCCTGACTAGAGGATGCTTATTTAACAAAAGTGGATTTCACACATACTTAAAATTGCTGAAGTTAATTAAAACCTGTCACCACCATCTTTGCCCTGTGAAAAGAGACACATGAATTCTGAGTCACCCTGAAAGACTTTTCAAGGGGGATAGTGGACAGGTGAGTGAAGAGCAGCCTGATGTTTCGCACCTGCTTGAGGTGAGAAAACATCCTGACCTCAGTCATAGTTGTAGTCCTTCAAGGATTTTAAAATAATTATCTTGGTTTTCTAATGATGCACTTACCAGTGACCACCCAAGAATAACGTATCCAAGCACAATTTCTTTGGGATTGAGGATCAGGCCAACGCTATTTTAGCTGATAATATGGTAGTAAAATGTGTGACATTTGAATCACCAGTATGTAATTAGGCAACTCAAAAAGACAAGGAAGAAGAGAAATATTATGATTGTGTAAGTTTCTTCCTCTTTCTGAACATTAAAAGTCACATGGCAGGGGCTACTAAAATTATGTGATTGGCTTAGAAATTTTTAATTTTATATAACTGTAAATGCGACAGAATGTTAGACTTCTCTCTAGATGAAGGAACATGTAATTAAGATGATTTTGTCAAAATGACAACTTCACTTAGCATATAAGGTGCCTGAAGGTCATAGGTATTTTCAAAAAGGATAGGCATTTCTTCTGTTTGAGTGATAAAGACCAGAGTTTTGTAAAAAAGCTATTTTAGGAGAACTGAAAAAAAAAAGTAAAACAAACAGCTGTGTTTGTTACAAAGCCAAAGCGGCATGTAAGAGCTGTCGTCACTGTATTCCCTATTATGAAATACTATTTGTTCTGCAAAGTGTTGTATCTTTCCATGCAGTTTAAAAAGAAATAAAAGACACAATTTTACAAGGTGGGTTTTTTTTTTTTTCAGTAAAGAATTAACGGAATAAAAGTGAGTGAGGATTTGATTGTTTTCACATAATGTCAACTTTCAAAACACAGTTACAAAACTGCCAGATTATAACATAGTTAACATTTATATGCATGAAAATCGTAGTTTTAAGCCTTTTCCCCAAAGCGAAGTATTCAGCTTTATGAGTGATACTTTTATTTATGTATGTATATGTAGGTCCGTATTTGAGTGTGACTCCATGCGTCCACACGCATACTGAATTACAATGTCTTGCCTTCCGGATTTTTTCTACCGTCTTTTTAAAGCCAGAAGCGGAGCTCGTTTTTAAACACGAGTTGAAGTGCTCGCATTTCCCACGACTCCAGCATCTGGCGCTTTTTCTGAGGCCGTCCAGCGCGGCCCCGGGGCGGTGCCGGGAGCGGGGCCGGGCCGGGCGGGGCCGGGCCGGGCCGGGCGGGGCCGGGCCGGGCGGGCGGGATTGGCCGGGCTCGGTCAGGCGCCGTGGGCTGTTGCGCACACGCGGCTCCGGCCCCGGTGCCCGGCAGTAACCCCGGGGAAGCCCGGCCCACTGCGGGTGTTCCCCCCGATCCCGGCGCCGTCAGCCGGCCCTGGCCCTGCGCGGCCTCCCCGCCTCCGAGGGCGCTGCCTGCCCGGGGCTGTGCTGCCCCCGGCGCTGCTCGGCCCCGGGACACGAGCTCCCTCAGCGGCTGGGCTGAGGCGAGTGCCCCTCAGCAGAGGCCACTCCATCCGGCCCTCTGCGCTGCAGGGCGGCTGCGGTGCCATCTCCTCCCCCCGCTCTCCTGGGACTTTGTTCCCTCTTCCCAAAAGTCCCCACGGGCTTGTGAGGCCCCCATGGAGGGTCGGCAGCAGCTGGTGTTCTCTCGCTGTGGTTGGAGCGCATGGCTTGGAGCAGAGCTGGTACCCAGTCCTACTCCTGGGCAGTTCTGGGGAGATTGCTGCCCTCCCTAGGGCACCCTCCTTGGGCACCCTCCTTGGTCCTGCTCCCATGGTCCTGGGCTGGACACTCCGTGTTCCTCACAGCTGTGTTCACTGAATCCCACCCCTGGGGGAGTGAGTGGATTGCAGCTGGAACATGGTTTCTCCTAAGGATCACGTTGGCATCTTCTGCATGTCGTGTTCAGAGCAAAAAGATGCAGCAAACTCTTCCCTGATAGCCTGCAGCCCTCCCTGCTCTCCCTCCCTTGGGTCTGAACAAGCAGGCACTTGTTTGCTTGCTCTCTCCTACCCAACAGAGCTGGCTTGTACATTAACTCTTCCTTTCCCCTCTTCTTCTCTGGTGGGTGGGAAATTTTCAGAGGAGCAAAGTTGGGGTCCACTGGAATTGCAACCCAAATGTGCAGATTACATAGGAAACCAGAAATAGAAGCAGAAATACTTCTAGGCAGTGACCTAAAATGCTGAGCTGGCACTGCTGAAGGGTTTGATAGTGTAGGAAAACATATTTTGGGCAGGGGATTTAATAACAGTCTTTAACGAAGAGGGAGAGGTTGCGATTGGAGTTGCACTCATTAAATCCAGACAGAGGGATCATTAACTTTATTTTTAGGCTTAGCTGAATAATAGCGAGTTTTGAAGACTTGACTTGCCTTCTCTGTTTCACTTGTTTTAGGAGGGGCTGTGCTGTCACAGGATCAAAAGCGCACCAGATTACGAGAAGCAGTACCTCTCTGTCACTTCCAGGGACATGGTGCTGTGACCAGCTGATGAGCAGGAGCATTTGTTGCTTTTTTCTACAGCTCAAAGCAGCCATATGTCAAATTGGTTGGGTTGGTCACATACCTCCAGGTGGAAGAACACAGCTGCTGGATGAGCCTCAACCTTCTGTCTTTCTTTTCACCCCCCGTGCTCCAATTTGCAGTGTGCTGGCTCTGGCCCTCCCACCCAGAGGGCCTTCCAGCAGCAGTAGCTGCAGCTGGAAACCAAAGCTTGGGCCTGTTTTTCCAAGGGATTTGGCATGCCCAGCTGCAAGGCTCTGGCGGTACCAGCAAACATGGTCTGGATCAGGGGTCCCAGTGTGCTGCAGGTGGCAAAGATGTCACAAACAAGGCCATCCCCTCTGCCTGCTTGTGTCCGGAGCAAGCTGGTGCCATGCGGAGATGCCTTACTCTATGCCACTATGATTGAAAGGCGTTTGGGTAGGGGTGCAGGGAAGCTACTATCAAAGTGATACTTGGTCAGGGGATTTCCCCTTTCCTTTCACTTCTCTCCAGCTGCAGAAGGGGTGGGGATCAGCGGGGACACTCACTGCTGCATGAGGAAAATTCCCCAGCTGAGGCTGATGAACCCGCCTGACGGGAGGTGCTGCCGGTATTACGTGTTGTGCCGCATGTGTATCCGCCAGCCACAAGGTCCTGGCAAGGGGCCCCGGCTGGAATTAACCTGCAGTAACCCCAGGCACAGGGCAGCCTTGGCGGGGTGTGCCTGCCTGGCCTGCGCTGGAGTATGAAAGCCATTATAATCCACTCATTCATGATGCTTAAAGAGCCAGAGGCGTTTTTTCCCTGGTTCTCCTGGAAGAGAGAAGGGTTTGGAAGCAGTAAGGCACAGCTTCCAAACTTGATGGAAGTTGAATTCCCATCCTGATGGAGTATCTGGTGCTTTACCAAGCCCTGCCCACCATGTCATCAATCCAACAAGTTTCAAAGTAACATTTATCATTTTTATTATGAACAAATAAAATTTCAGATCAGCACAACCAGATGTCTGTTTCCATATTAGTAGAAATTATTTCAAAAAGGTTTTTTTTTTTTCCCACAAAACAGAGATACTACTATGCAGAAATCCCTAAGCTGTGAAAAATCGTATCCTACTCACTTTTCAACAGTGACAGAGCTTAGACAATGTGCAGATTCAACTTTTC